GGGGGAAAAAAAAAAAAAAAAAAAAAAAAAAAAAAAAAAAAAAAAGAAACATTGTTGTGTGGTCTGGTGAATACGTGCCATTACCTTCGTGTTCATAGGTAGAAGCTTTTGTGGCTGCTTGTCTCTTTTTTTCCCGTGAGGGGTTGTGCTGGACTGGGAAAAAAATGGAAGGAACTTGTATTAACTGGAGAGAAATGGTTTGACTTCAAGTTCATGCTTTTGCAGCAAGCTGGATTACCCTGCTATCTCTTTTGTTGTGATTTTTAGTAAAAGTGCCAAAAACTTAATTTTTTTTTTTCCATTTACTTATTTATGCTTTGCTTTGCCAAGGAATGAGAAAGCCTGCCACTTTTAGCAAGCATGTGAACAAGAAAGGCAAGGGAACCCAGGGTGAAATTTGATGTGGAGACTCGCGTACGATGTAGGATAGCCATAAACATCCCTTGAACATTTCTTTTTTCTTTGTAGCAGGGTTCATTATGCTCTCTGAGTTTGTGGCTGTAGGTGAAAGCAAAGAGTGACACAACATGACTGTAGCTTCAAAGCCTGGCTGAGAACAGAGAAAACAAACTATACACAATTTAAGCACCTGTTTGTATGCAGGCTACCACACGAGCCTAATATATACACCAGTGTGATGTAAGGCAGCGGAGATGACTTGATTAGCAAAGCCCTCGCAATGAGCTGAGGAGATCCCTGCTGCACCAGTGCACCCCTCCTTGGAGACCTGCGACTAGTCCCAGCTGAAGGAAACCTTCCTGCAGCAACAAGAGTTAGCGGAGGGTTTCTGAAAATGGCAATGATGGTGTTCTGTGTGTGAAGGTGATGGAAGTAAGAAGAGTAAACAGCCTGCACAACTTTGCAGAATAGCTGGGATATTATGAAAGATGCAACATTAATTACTTGGGCTTTGTGAGCTACGTTTGCAGAAGTTGTGGAGCACTGTGTGTTTGGGGAGGTTGCATTTCAGCAAACGGCTCGCTCTGTTTTGTTGTGCTGTTTATCCTGTTGGATGAAAGCCATCATTCAGCAGAAGGAAACGCTAGGGCAAGATAAAGTAAGTGATCTTCCAATTTGTAAGCTCTTGCAGCCCCTTGCTTTCATACGTACTGAGCAGGCAGAGGTCTACAGACTTGAATAGGAACTCATGGTGCTCAGCACTTATTACAGTCAAGTGTTTATTATTCAATGTCAGAGGAAGAGAGACAAAAATTTATATACGTAAGAAGACACACAAGATACAAGGCTTTCTATCTCTCTTGTGAGTATGTATAAATATACACAATTGGTATGAGTTTTTTTGGTTACTTTGTGCATTACTGTGCGTGGAGAGTGTGCAGGATTGTGGCAGAAACCCAGGGTTTTAGGTGAGGAGCGCAGGGCACTATTTCTGGCTCTACTCTAGCTACTTGTGTGGCCAAGTGTATTAAATCCTGCTCTTGAAGACAGCAAACCATTTATTCGGACTTCATTCTCAGACTTGCTGAATACCCCAAAAGGCTGCTATTATTAGAGGGAACTGCCATTCGTTAGTTCTTAAAATGGGCTGTCCATAAGTCACCAACACGTGCTTTCCACAGGGAGGTGGGACTAGGACTTCATCTTTCTCCCTGCCAGCCCATGGAGCTGGCAGAGCTCCCACCCTCCCTCCTTTCTGCTCAGCCCCTCCACCGAGGGTGCATCCTCCTGGTCACGAGGCTGGCGATGGCTGTGCCACCCACCATACCTTGGGATCTGCGCAAGCATCCCATTGCTTCTCTTGCTGCCATGGTGGGGCAGGCCCCTTTATGCTTGCCATGCAAGCGGGCTCCTGTTGACCTGTTTCTGCCTTTCTTCCTCCCCTTCTTGGAGTGGTGGCGGCCTTGCAGAAGAAGCATCTTTTTCACGGCCAGCAAGAGGTTGCTTTCATCCATGCATTTCCCTGTGCATGCTGTTGGTACCAGGGTTGGCACTGTGGAGCAGAGAGTCATCCCCAGGGGACTGTGCTCTTCCACCACACTGGGTGTGCGTGGGGACAGCCATCCTGCGCCCAGGCCAGCACAGCTGTGTGCTGCCCCCGGGCAACCAGTTGGGGCCAGGTCATGGTCAAGCTCTCAGTCTGTGGTGTTGTTTCTTTTTTTAAATAATAAATGCATCTCTCTGGCAACAAAAATATCAAATCCCATCTATAAATGAAGCGCTCAAATATTTTGTAGTTCCAGACCATTTCAGTGATGGTGCCTGTGCTGATACTAGTCTGCTGTGATCTGATCTGACTTTGTCCTTGCTCTGGATGGGATTTGCCATAATAGTACTTTCATGCCTTAGCTCCCATTAGCGCCTTGATGAATAGTGAAAAATGTGTTTCAGCAATTTTATGATTAAAAAGCAACATCTTACTGTTGTTTGGTCTCTGGTGCCTTTGCCCCGTTCATTATGCTTTACCTAGGAGTAACAGCAATGATTTAGAGCTGCAATATCAATATCAGTTTCTGAACCTTGTGTTTTCTTTAACTGTAAATTCTGGGGAAGGAGGAAGTCTAAGTAGTAGGGCTTGTTCTTCTGACATTTCCACGCCTGCTGTTTGAAACTGTGATGCCTCACAGTGATCAGACACATTTACTCCTAACTCTCTCGTTGGGTTCCCGGACAGAGTCCCCTTGGGTGGCTGCTCTGGAGCATGCCTGGCTGGGGTTCAGAGACACTGGCTGGGCCCAGGGCACACAGTTGCACTCCGGGTCCACTGCTGTCACCAGCACTCGTGCTAATGGCCTTAGTACAGAGGTCAAAGACTGCTTAGATATGAAGGCTGAATCACCTCCTTTTTAAACCCCTCAGCAGGATCAAGGCTTAGAAAAGCAGACACGTGGGCTTGCCTTCTAGCTGACAGTGTGGATGAAGAGTGTGACTCTGGGACAGGTCTTTCAGCAGTTTCGACTAACCATTGAAGCATTGAAATGGGGGTGTACAGTGATTAAAACACCCCTGCACCAACACCCCTATGTGAAAAAGCCTGATGCATTCATTTTCTTTAAAGATTTGCTGATCCCACAAGCTCTGGCTAGTTAGGGGAGGTTTGTCCTGTGACCTGAGGATCACAGAAATCAGTGGTGAGCCCGTCAGTCTAACCAAGCAGATATGAAAGATTTTCAGCTGCACTTATTTCATTTGCAAATATACATAAGCCAGCAGTGTAGGTCTTGCTTCAGACCTGTTTGCCTTGGCAGCATCCCATTTATGTGAATCAGAAGATGGTAGCAAAAAAGCACTGGAGGCTTATTCAGAGATTGGTCTCCTTTCCATCAGGAAACCTGCCCATGGAGGCAGGGTGACTCGGAGATTAGCAACACAGCTCACAAGCCCAGCTTCACTAGGTACCTGTGTTTTGAACAATCCTGCCTGCCAAGGGTGTGTGTTTCCTTGAGCTGTGGCAGCGCAGTGTCCTGTCTTTGGAAACCCTGCGTCTTGGTGCACTAGGGACGAGAGACGTAGAGGAAGCAGCTCTGGCTATGTCCTTAGCTCTTGTGATTTGGGCTTCTTGAAAAGAAGGGGGCTCCTATGTTTCAAGCTGAGAAGCAGGAGGTCAGTTTTTAAGCCTGCTGCATCTCTGCAACTTTTGGTAGGTCTCTGGATCACACCGTGCCTGTTTCTAAGCTGTAAAATAGGGATAGAAATTAGGAATTAAAAAACAAACAAACAAACAAAAAACAAAACAAACAAAAAAAAACCAAACCAAAAACCATAAAGCCTTGAAGAAAGATGCAGTTGTAACTTGTGGTGCCGTCACCACCATGAGGCCCTCATGTTGGTTGGAGCTTCAAGGCTGTGCTTTAATATTGATAATAGTAGAAGTTTATCATGATATTAGCAATTGGGAACTTAGAAGATACACGTTTTTAATTATTTTTTTTATTTTTATTTTTTCTTATTTCAGCAAATTCAGTAAAGCTAGAAATGCAAAGTGATGAGGAATGTGACAGGAAGCCCCTGAGTCAGGAAGATGAGATCAGGGCTCATGATGAAGGAAGCAGCCTGGAAGAGCCCCTCGCTGAGAGTAACGAGATGGTGGATAACAGAAAGATCCAGGAGCTATCGAGCGAGGGAGGAATCCGGCTTCCGAATGGTAAACTGAAATGTGACGTCTGTGGCATGGTTTGCATTGGGCCCAATGTGCTAATGGTACATAAAAGGAGCCACACTGGTAAGCAGCTGAAAGAAAAATCTGATGACTGCCTGTGGCGTCTGATGTTGATATTACCTGACAACTCTTCTCTCTTCCCTTTTCATTCATGGGGTAGCAGGAGGCTGGGGAGGGGAAAGATGGGCTTTGTTGTTTTCATTCTCCCCCTGCTCCCCAAATTCTGGTGATTCTGTGGTTTTGGCAAGCATGGTGCTTCCTTTATGTTGATTTCCAGCCTTTGGTTCTTAAAAACAGCACAGAAGTCTGGAAATTGCCTTTTTTTACTGTTCTTCACCAGGGGCAAGATGGTGAGAGTCATTCTCTGGCATGGGTGGGTGGGTGTGTGTGTGTGTGTGTTCACGTGTGTGCGCATGTGCAGGGCTTTTGAGCCATTCAGGTGGGTCTTAGTCTTCCCTTGGAGGTGCTCGCAGGTGGACAATGCCAGCAGCTTCCTGGGGAATCTCACAGCTTCTTTACAAGTGGTTGGGCATGATGCCGGTGGCCTGGCAAACCTGGGATTAGCAAACCCCACAGGGGACACACGTTACCTAGCGATCCTGATGCCAGGGTGGGCTTGCTGCCCATCATGTGACAGCTCCTTCAGGAAAACCTCACCTGAACTGCTACTGTGGGCTAGTGTTTGGCTCCCCTCACCATCTAGATACCATTTTTGTGTCACCTTTCAATGCTTGCAGTAGCCTATCATTTATTTTTATTACTGTTAGTACTATTACTGTTTGGAGACCAAAACAGCTTACTAGGCTTGTAGATCTGAGAATTCAAGAGGTGGACAAAACCTTTGCAATATACTGAGTGGGTCTTTGGGGCCTGAAAGATGAGGCCTTGAGTTCAAACCAGGGAATTTCAGGGGAGTTCTGGCTAATGTGACAAACTGGGATGCCCAAGAGGCTGGTACTCACTCGCCTCTGCTGCTCCTCAGGTGACAGTTACCTCCAACAGGATAAAAGTACAGATGGTGCAAGAAGACAATGCTCTCTGGTCTTGCAGAGGTCTACCTGGCAGAGCCTTTGATTCAAAAAAAACACTTAAGCTTAACTTTTGTGAGATTTAAGCACATGTAAGTCACCTGAAGTGCTACAAGATATGCTAAACTTAAGATACACACTTAAATCTTACTAAGGTTAAGCACAGGTTTCTGTGTTGGAGCCTCAGTGGATGTTTGTCCTTCATATTTTTTGGACAAAATGAAAGATATTTTGTTTTCTTTTCTTTCTCTGCTATTATTTAATGGGGTGAGAGACTTACACTGACTGCGAGATATCTGTTAGGATAAAAAAAAGTGGGGTTTTAAGGTAGAGTAAGAAAGACTTTGTGTAATCCCTTTGTAAACCTGGTAGTTTGTGGTCAAGTAGTGTGCTCTTGATGGGAAATAAATCAATAGAATTTCTGTACAGAGGAAAAATAAATATGTATTACACAGTTAATGCCCTGTACATAAGTTGTATTGATAATAACTTAACATAAATGTATAATGCAAAGCATTGTAGTATCGTTTATGATGCAGTCATGATTTTAGACAGCAATTGCGACAGGGGAAAAGCATTAGCTGGAGAACCAAAATCTTGATTAAGAATTTGACATGCTATTACTGGGAAGGAGAGAGAGAATAGAATGTAACAGACCGAGTCCCCAGCTTTCAACATCCCTAAAAGTTTTCATTTGCACTTGCACGTATCTGAGCATATGTATTGTAGGTGCATTGGAGTCCACGTATTTGAACTTGAGCTGCTAAATTAGACCTGCTAAATTTAGATTTAGGTACTTAATTAAATGGTCTGCATTTTTTGAGATGCTGAATAGCTAGCGCATCTTCTAAATACAGACAAGCTGCCTTTTTCATGTTAAAGAAGACATGCAAATTCAAAGCGAACAGAACAAAATCTCATCTGCGTGCAGGCAAGACGGCTGTATGCGGGTGCATGGGTAGGAATTGCATAACTGGTAGCTTTTTCCTTCGGGCTGCTGCTTGTTCCTCATAGAGCTCTGACTCTTTTCCCATCCGAGCCTAGGAGCTGTGATGTATTGCTCTATACAGATGATTTCAAGCATATAGAAATGGCATTCCTTTTAACGTGCAGCTCGGTGCTCTACTCTCAGTAAACCAGTTGGCAAATTTTGCGGGGGATTTTTTTTTCCCCCTCACTTTGTTTGTTTGTTTTTTAATACATGCTGCTACTTCACTGTCCACAACAGAAGGAGAAGTTTGCTTGGATTTCCACATCCTTGATTTTAAGGAGTATTTTTAACATACTGGTATCTATCTTTTAAAGTGCAGTATTTTAAAATGTATTGCCACTTCCTCGGCAGCCGGGTGCGATGGGCTGGCCCCAGCTCTGGAATGAGCCCTGACCTGTGGGTAGTCTGGTTTTGCAGCCCAAGGGAGAATGGTGGAGGGAAGGGAGGTTGTCCCTAACGAGTGGAAACGGATGATATTCTTTATCAGCTAATGCAACTGGCATGAAAATCCTTACCTCTCAAAGCCAATTTAAGTATGTTTTGGGAGCTGAATCCTGCCTTACTCTGCTCTTTTATCTGTACACAACCAAAGCACGGTCTGGCCAGTTGTTTGCATTGGCAAAAACCAAAGTCCTTTTCCCTTCCCAAAAAACCTGTCAGCATTCTATGTAAATCACACAAAATGCTGTGGTCCATAGTAGAGGCTGTAATTTGCGTGTATGCTGGGACAAGAGTGTGGCTTTCCTTACACCAGGGACCCAGGCTTTGCAAGAAGCTGTGCCGTATGGCTTTGGCTGCGTAATGCACGTAAAGGGGCACAGTTTTCTGCAGCCATTATTCATCTGTTCCTGAGGAGCAATTGTCTTCTCCCGCCATGTTATGGTAGTTTAGTCAAACAGATATAGGGACAGGGAAAATAACCTGTGCTGCGGGTGAGGCCAGAGTAGATAAGCTCAGTGTCCCATCTCTCATCCTCATGTGCTGGAGCATCCATTTCCTCTGATGCCTGTAGTCGCCCCTTCCCGTGATAGACCAAGACGGGAATTTCCCATTCATCCTTTGGATCTGCACAAGCGCTGCCTCGTGCACGTGGTGCAAGTGCTGCTTTGGTCCACGGCACCTCTGCCATGGAGCCGTTGGCTTTGCTCATCTGATACTGCTGAACACAACATTTCTCTGAAACACTGATAATTCAGGTGAAGTGTTTTTGTAATCTGCATGGCCTTCAGGAAAAGGCTTTTCTATTTATTTGTCATCACTGACAGAAAATAATAAAATACTCAATGTGGGAATTGAGCATGATGCACTCCCTGCTGTAGTGAGCGGGGTAACCCCTCACCCTGTCCCTCACGTGCCATGTCCTCATGTCAGAAAAACAGCATGTGTCAGGTTTGCTTTATTTTCCTCCTTTCCCATGCTATCTTCTTTTGGCCCGAATTTCATATTCCACAGCACATGCCCTGAGTTGCAGCATCTTTATCAGAGTTTTTTGTTACGCCGGGAGATGACTAATCACATAATATTGCCACTGGATACCCCAGGGGCTTGTGCTTGGGGGTGTTGAGGGAAGGGGAGAGGAAGAAGATAAGGCTTTCTGCTAGTGGGCCTAAATTAAAATTTCCTTGCTCCTGATTTTTGGCAAAGCAGAAACCATTTGCTGGTATAGCTGTGCTGCTGCCTCTGTGATCTGCGAGGTCCACGTGTTTTTCTCCTGTGCGCTCTGAATTGTGATTCCCCCCGCCCCCCAATGTCCAGTCCTTTATCTAGTCCACTGCTAGATTCTGAAATACTTTTTATTTCTAAGGGAGGATTGGGGTCATCCTCATTGTTTCATTGTTTTAAGAACACCCAGAGCTTAAATGCTTTCTCTTTTTGGATGCAGCGGGACAGTGGCAGAGCAAAGCTAGGTCCCAGGGGACAGGGCACAATGCAGAAGGCAGCAGGGATTGTAGTCTTGCCCCATTCTCACTTTGGGCTGCCGATAGGTTATTTTTAGGCTTTTTTGGGGTCCTAACCACAGGAGCGTCTCAGATCTTTGTTTGCACTTCACGCACATTTTAGTACCATAAAGTCAGTGAAACGAGATACGTTATGGTAGTTCAGTCAAACATGAGGGAAATCTGCAAGTTCTGCTTTAGCATACGTAGCGTTATAATTTAACATATGCAGGACTGGAACACTGAATGCTATTTACTTTTTTTTTTCATGCAGAGTTCAAGTTTTTGGGACACAATTAATAAATGAGGAAAAACCTAATTGTGCTGTTCAGTATAAACAAACATGGCTTAAGCAGCTAACCAGGAACAAATTTAAATAAATGGTCATGTTAACACATTACAATTAACTCTGTTGGTCTGCCTGTCTTATTCTTCTTGTAGAAAGGTTTTATTTGGTTTCATTTGTAATTTGTAACCTAGTGTAGGCTCTTACCTCTTGCAATAGGAATCAATTTGTCACTGAATCAAAAATTGTTGGGCCAAATTTCTAAAAGTGATGTTTTCTACTTAGGTTCCTAACTCTAATTTTTTCCAAAAGTCCCATTTTCTGCTTAAGCATAAGGAAGGGGAGCTTAAGTTTTTAAAATTGCTGTCTGCATAAGGATGTGTTGTACTCGCAGTACTGAGTAGCTAAACTCCTTTGATATTTTTATCAGTTCACTTAAAGGATTTTTCTCTCTTAAGAATATGGTCATAAATCTGTGTATAGAGGACACTTGGAAATCACCCAGGATTTCCCAGGAATTTTTCATGAGAGATTTGTCACTATGGTTTTATAATAAATTGCCTTATCTGGAAGTAGGTTTTTCCCAACAAAAGACCCTAGTAAAATCACTGATTTCAAGTGATGTGCAGCCCATTAAGTGAATCTGATAGAACAGTAAGTAGGTATGCAGACTAGATAGTCCCCAGAATAACAAATACAGAAATGAAGCAAAGTTGTCTGCTCTTTATTTCGCTTGGGTAAAGGCAGGTTGCAACTCACTGTCTGTCGGTGTGTTGGTAGCGCAGCTAATATTTCATTTGTGCTCCTGGGACAGAGCAGAATCAGAGCAGTTGCAGCATCTGATGAGTCAGGAGAAATGTTTCATTTTAACTGAATATTAACAAAAAACCTACTATGGAAGGGTGAAAATCAATATTATTAGTATGAGCAAATACTTTCTGATGGCCGCATGGGCACAGGAATTTTGCATTAAAAGGTTAAAAAAAAAAAACAACTGTTTGAGAAGTACCTAAGCTATCCTTTGCATATCAAGAATATGTGCCAAACAAAAAAGGCTGAGATCTCAGATATACATTTAACCAGGACAGATGTTACATGTAGTCCCATTGGACCTGGTTCTTATATTTAGAAGGACTCTATCCTGGCTTTTCTTGTTATTGTAAAGAGACTTTAAAACCAGTGTTTTTTAAAAAAAAGTAATTGAAACATTCCCAGGAAGGGACCTGAGAACTGCTGTAGAAATAACCAGGCCTCGCTGTTAACGAGATTATTATGTATTATTTTGTGAGTTGCTCCATTTGATCTCAAAGGGACAAAAGTTACCAGCCAAGGGTTATGAAAATCTAAGTCTCCTTGGTTGCAAGGTCTGCAGGCTCTTTGTCCTCAGTTAAATTTCTGTTTTGATACAGAAAATATCACTGATGTATTTTGCACTGGTATGAGATTCGAAGAAGGAAACTCATACTGAAACTTCTGCGCAGCACTTCCGTGCTGAGGTGGTAAAGGAGAGTTATTGTGCAGGGAAGCTTCCAATTAAGCAGAAAAAGGAGTTGGTTTGCTTTTTGAAATAACATTTGACATATACACGGTAAAATATGAAAGCCATTAGTAGGATGTTAAACAGTTCATTCGCCTGGTTTCAGGTTGTATCAGCTAGGCAGCATTTGTAGATTGTGCTATGAAGTCTCCAGCCAGCTGCCATATATTAAAGATACTTGTGAAAGGACTGTGTCTTGCTAATAACCCTGACTTTGTTGGTCCACTTCACCTTTCATCTCAGTATTTGTTTACACAACAGCAAGTAAACTTGTGTACTTCAGATACTGGTGTAGCTAAAGAGCAGTAATAGTTTGTTGTTATTTTCCCTGGAGGAGACGTAGCTGTAATGGATGCATGTTAAACAATGAACTGTGAAGCTTCAGCCGTATTTTACTGTAATTTAGAGGTAAATATTTGAAATCATACCTTTTAATTAATACTTTACTTAACTGTCAAATGAGAAAACCCGTGGATTTATTTATTTATTAATTTAATTATCAGGGGTGTTCCCTGGCACAAGTCACTCTTACTAAGCCTTTATGAAAGGTAATACTTTGCAGCTCTGGCTTACCTTGCCTTGTCCGTTCCTGAAGTTACTTTAGATAATTAAATTCCCTGCACTGGAGAACAAGGCTTTTTAGGCATTCTTGGTTTTGTCGGGCTTTAGATCTTAAATCTGGAGTTGAAAAGAAACATTTTTTTTTGTTTGGTTAGCTGTTCCTCCCCCTCTCCCCACTCAGAAACACTTTTTTTTTTTTTTTTTTTTTTTTTTTTTTTAAATCACTAAGGTTTGAGGTTTTTTTGCCCTGGTTTAGCCCTAAAATAGAGAAAAGTTTTGTTATTAAGTATTTAGAGCTAAACCAGGGCAGAAAAACCTTTAGTAAACTAAAAATATTTTGCAGTCCCATAGTTTCCAGTGTTGAAAAGCAAAAAGCTTGCTTAGTCACATTTCAGTACATGTCCTTCTTATAAGGAGTTCTTATTTTAATAGATCAGTATAAGTTCATAATTATATTATTATTATCAGTAGCCTCTTGTAGTTGTGTATGCCCCTAGTTTAATAGGTCTATAGTTTCTGGTATGTCTGCGCTGCCGTCATCCCCAAAGACAGGAGAATATTTTAAACACGGTCAGGGACTGCCATGTCGAGAAGAAAGGTATTTAGGTAAAGACTTTTTGTGAGTGGATGGTTAGTTTGAAGTGTGATTAATTTCAACCTATGAATAAAAACTTTTACTTTTCACAGAAGTGTAAGGGAAGTGAATAAGGATGTCAAAGTTGTTATTTTGTTATTAGGAAATAATAATACTGCAGAACTGCTTACAAACCTACTAGGAAAAGGCAGCAAGAGAAGTAATTGGAAAACAGTCTTCTCAAGGCACTGAAGTGATAAAAAAGGCTGGTTTGCTATTATCTGGAGTGGGCATCAGACAGCAGAGTTCTTGGAAAACCAGCAAAATCTTCTTATTATTCAGTCTTTACTTTTTTTTGTGCACCCTTCTATTGGATAATGGTCTCTCAGATTAGCTGTGCTAAATGTAAAAGCTGCTAATCAATAGCACGAAGGTGTGACTAAAATTAACGGTCATCCCACAAGCCTGCAGCTTAAACAAGGAGCAGGAATCAAATGATGGGACAAAAGTATAATAAACAGATCAAAGCAGTTATTTACCCAGAATTAAGCCAGGAGGAAAAATGAATTCATGCTGGCTTTAAATAGATAGAAAGGTTATTTAAGGTAAAATGTGCTATTGTAGCAGATTCTGTCTGTTGTAAGAGAGGAGCAGGTTATTGGTGACTTTGTGGTGAGTGTTTCCGTGTCATCTTTGTGACTGAACTTTAGTGCAGGGGTTATTTGTATTGCTGACCAAAGGCTTTCAGCATCTCTTCAGCTGTCAGTTTATCAAGGAATAATACCGGCTCATATGTGGCCTCCAAAATATCAGATAAGCAGGTGATGTAGTAGATAAAACACATTAACTGCATAGTTTTAAATACAGCAGGAGTAAAAGGAAAGACTTTAGTCTTGGTAAGAAACTCGCTACCATCTTTAATGTTGTCATCCTGAAACTGAAGCTATCATTCCTGAATACTGAGAAACGTGTCAAAGGAAGGGGTTTTGCCTGTTTTCTCAGACAGCAAAAGCAAAACAGAAAATAAAAAAAAACCCATATATTTTTCTAGTGCAGCCTCTTTACATATCTCTGTTATGGACATTTTGAAATGATACAAAAGAAGATAATGGCTAATCAGATCCTTTAAGTATAGTGTGGGAGTTTAAAAGGGAAACCACAAACTCTTTATCAATTCCAATGAGCTCGTGCTCAGTGTATTGGAAGATGAGCTTTATGCCCTGATTTTTTTTATTGTTACTCCATAATGTTCTTGGCAAGATTGCAGAAACCTTAGTATCTTCTTTGGTGCATCTGCAGTGGTTTCAGATGTAATTTCCAGCTCACACACGTGAAGTGAAGTTGCAGAGGTATGGCATATATACAGCACACCTGCCTTCTGCTGCCCTCCTGGTAGGACTGTAATGCTGGCAATGGTTCAAACCACTGAAGCAAGAATCGCTAGTGGATATCTCTTCAGAGCTCTCTTCCTCCCTCTCTTTCCATTTCAATCAGCAGGCATATGTTGGACTTTACACTAGATGCATGAACTACTTTGATAAAAACATAGCATTAATTTTGTGCAGCAAGGGAGTAATCATTTTAAAGAAATTGAAAAAGGCTTTAGAGAGATGTGACGGGTCAGAGAACGTGTTCGTTTTTCACAAGAACTGTGCTTCAGGCCAGTGTAAAAAGGCCTCAAAGTCCTACCAGGCATTGACCAAGGCTCCATAATAGGTGATACGTTGAAAAAATGAATGAGACCACTTACATCTGAAATCTGATGTTCATGACCTTGTTGAACAGGGGCCCTAGTTGGTGAAAACATTTCAGCATCTAGAGCCCACCTGCAGTAAAGCGCTTAGGCAAGTGGCCAGCATGAGTATATGCTGGTGCCCTATTGATTTGCACTGTACCCAGTGGGATATAAGTAGATGATTAGATCTGACTACCTGCCCAAGAATGCTGGAACAGACTGAGTGTCCTCAACAAATGTTGACATAGAGTATGGTTTTGATAATATTTCACAAAACCTGTGTGAGTTTGTCAAGGGTTTTCCTCTAAATAATAACAATAAAAAATTTGTTGGTGTTTGTTGTTATGGACCCAACCCCCACTGTCCAGGGCAAACATGAAGGATTAACATCAAAATAAGTTTTGCATGCACGTGTGTGAATGCATGGGGTGAAAGGAGAGGGTACGGTGTAGAGTTTCTGTTCATCTTTTTTTTTTTCATCAAACAAGTCTTTTCAGTTAGTTTTACTTAGAGCACAAATTTTCTTATTTCACAGTTTAATGGCATAAGATTTTTCTCAGTGTTTGCTACTGTCCAAAGCTTCTGGGCCTGATTCTCATTTGCATTGATTCTCTTCATACCACTCTAGCAACTCAAAGCAGCCTTCAAAAAGGGATTTCAGTTATAGTATAATGTAAGCAAAAGATTTGGTTTGAAGCAAAGACCTTAACATCTGTCCAAGTCCAACTGTTATGATCAGTTTAAATAGTCATATGGATTGGACCTATACTAAAAATAAGTGCAAAACCATAGAGATAAATACCACAAAACCATGGTTATGGATCTAAATATTGAGCAGAACTCAACTTTTATGAAGGATAAAACCTCCAAGGTGTAGAACTTTATGAAAATCAGGCTGCATTAATCACCTCAAGCTGATGCTGCAGAAGAAAAGAGTTCCAGATCACTATTGGAGGCTTTGCCCCTTGTGCAAAGAAATGGCCTCTGACTTCAGCAAGTGCCATGTGATGGTGGTGGTGGTTACTGTACCTATCTAAGATGGCAATGTTACAAAGAGAGGGATAACGGGCTCCATGCATCTTCTGATGTTTCTTGATAGCTGTCTCCTTCCGTTTTCCTTCCAGGTGAACGCCCCTTCCACTGTAACCAATGTGGAGCTTCTTTTACCCAGAAGGGGAACCTGCTGAGGCACATCAAGTTGCACTCTGGGGAGAAACCGTTCAAATGTCCCTTCTGCAGCTATGCCTGCCGACGGAGGGATGCCCTCACAGGACACCTCAGGACGCACTCTGGTGAGCCCTCCTTGTCTTCTCTTCCCTCTTGCTTTTTCTTTTGTCATCACTGTTCAAGTGAAGTGGGTTGTGAAAATAACTGTGTATTCCTGGTGCCTCTGGGTCTGTACCATCCTCTTAAGATAGAGCAGCTCAGAACTTTGGGAAAGCCTTGACATGAATCAGAAAAGCTGTAGTTCAGCCACACCTCTCCTTTTGTGTAACTGAGCTCCTCTGCTGATGCTATCGCACTTCCCTTTGAACATCTCCTTGGGTGTATCCAGGCTTTGCTGGCAGATTGTTTTGACGCTCTCAGCCCCAAAGTGACTGTGAGTATTCCAAAGATTGCAAAGAATAATTGTGTGCTCTTGGAAGCCTGCTTCGCAGTTCATACCCATTTCTTCATCTAATATATGCCATATTCTGGTGGAGTTCATTCTTGTTCATCTTTCAAAATACTCCTAATGGCATTTTTGATTCAGTTACATCTTGCTGTAGAGTCCTCATCCATGGCAGCCATGGCACGCACCCTAGAACAGAAGGTATTGGAGAGAGATTGGTTTTGTCTTGCCTTGCTACTTGAGCATATCATGTCTATATCAAGTCTACTTGATATAGTTTCTTGATATGTTCTAAAGAAATACCTGGTGCATAACTGCATGTTAGTAGCCATGTTGGTAGCCTGATGATCAGGATCAAATGTGTTTCTAGTCCCTGTACGCTACACCAAGGGGCTGCATTCTGCCCGCTTAGTCATTTGTGTACGACTCTTAAGTAAGATCTTAACTTACTGCATTTTTTATCTCCTAGGATGTTCAACTTCTGTGTCCAGGCCATTCATAGGAGACTGTGTTTTTCATTGTTGAATGAGCAGAGATAATTGGACTGGTTGCAAGTGACAGCATTACAGATGAACTTTTTTGAGGTGTTAGCAAATGTGTGACTACTGAAACACAGTGGTTGAAGTGCAGCCTCAAACAGAAACTCTGCGTGTGAAAATGTAATCATGGGCCTTCCTGACTCTTTATACACATTTCTTTTACAGGGTCAGCCTCACTTCAGTAGAGGTTTCTGTTTTATGAGCATTAGGTTGGTCTTAGGATACAGAGTTGCCTTGACATTTCCAAGAATGAGAAAGGATAAGCTAGTAAGCTTCTCCAGGTAGACTTTGGAGTACGCAGGAGGCTGTATTGATGTGAACGTACTGCTGACAGAAAGCATGAGCTTCCAAAGTCGTGCAAGTGTGGGCCAGGCTAAGAGAGAATTGCTTGAGAGTTGTCAGCTGAGAGGATTTGATCTGAAAGTCAGAAGGGAAAATGTCTTTGGAACTGTGAGTTGTAATTTTCACACATCTGACCATAACTGCAGTTTCAACTTGAAATTTAGTAAAAAAGAAAACACAATAAAAATATTCACAATTAAAATAAAAAAGGGAGTTGTGACATAAAATAGCCCACATTACAAAACATGAACATTGCGGTTGAAGATTGTTTTCATAATATGAATATAAATTTTGTTACCTAGATACAGACATTGATAGAGATTGTTCGTTCTTCCTGTGTGAAAAGTACATGGCTGATGTTTCTGCTTTTTGCATGAGGATGAAATGTAAAGGTGTGGGATTTTCAGAAGGCACCTAAGCTGCTTAGGCACACGAGTTCCCCTGGAGCTCCTTCCCTAACTGACTTAACTGTGTTCAGCTGCGCTCAGTTTGTAATTTTATGTTTTGTTTTCAGCGGAGAAAGTGTCACCCCTCGAAGTAGTCAGCTACAAGAGTTTTCAGCAGAGGGCCAGCAGGAACAGACAAGTGCTCCCACAATACTCTCTAAGACAGTTCTTAGAGTAGCACACACAGATGAAGAGTTAAAAACTTGGGCTATCGCCCTAAAACCTGGCACCCACCTACACCAAGGTGAAATGCCAATCTGTATGTGAGCAAGGAAGTTAAGGTGTCTTTCCGTCCCTGTCATATAGACAAGCTTGGTTGGTTTATGCGTACATATGTGAACCTGGTTCATGAAGAAGATGGGTAGGTGTTTCCTAGAGATTTTAAACAGTTTTATGTCAGTGTACTATGCAAGCACTTTATGCTTTAATATAGCACACGTCAAAACCCATAAGTAGACCTTGAAGGTGTAACAAATCTAGTAAACTTCACCGAATTTACAGCAGATTCACATCTTCTGCTATTTCTGACCATAAAAGAGGATATCAGATAAAACATAGAAAGAAGGGGTTGAAAACTATTTTGAAATATGAGACTTCAATCCAGTTTCAATCTGGTATACAATGTCTAAATTAGGTGAGTCTGAATATGTTTTTATATTTATAAGACGAAAGCTCTT